TTGCTTTCGGAGAGCCATTGTTACACTGTCGCGGCGATGAAGGCTGCTTCTTTTTTCAGGGATAAAATCGTGATTTCTATAGCACGGCATTGGCCTAGTGTTTGCCATGGGAGTTCAAAGCTTGCTAAGCTGTTGTGGTACTTTCTGATTCAGTGGAAGGATTGTTTTGTTCGTGGATCTAGATCGCTTTTTGGTTTGGGCACTGCGGCACTTCTTGTCATCATATGGAGCTGCTTTCTTAGTTTGACATCAATGTCTTGCCTTTTCTGCGTCCTTTTAAGCATGGTAAGCTTATCAATCTCCCCATTGCAACACTTTCTATATCTTCAATCGTTGCCCTAACGCCCTAAATTCCAGTTGGGTTCTATATCGTCACTTCCAACACTGTTGTTGACTTGTTTCGGATCATAAACCAATTATAGATACATATTCATCAACAATTTGTAGTCTAGATCATTAGAGAGCTTGTAACTTAGCTAGACAAATCTGCAAAAAGGATCAACCTCCATGGTTTATTGAAATTAATCAAAGTTTGTAACATATAGGCAAGATAAATAATCTCTTTCTAGGTAAGTCTTAATGTAGTTACACATATACTTCTTCAAGAATCACAAATATCTGTATCGAATCAGACCTTTTTGCTACAAAAACATTCTGATTACTGATTAACAGTTTTCTTATCTTCATAGGGTGTTGCTGCTTGTGCTATTCACTACCTAGGCCACACACCTGGTATATTCATAGTAGGGCTATTTTCAATTTTGATCCTCTGGATGTATGGGAACTTTTGGATCACTGGAACATTATTTATTGTTGGAGGTATGTAATATATGTCTCTTTTACTGTTTTACAAAGCTAAAAGTCTATTATTATTGTTTAATCTTTACACAATTATTTGCAGGTTACTTATTTTCTAGGAAACATGCAAGGTTGGTTGTTTTAATTGCAACCTTATATGCTCTCCATAGTGTAAAACTTCAAGTTGGATGGATTGGAATTTTGGTATCAATTAACCTTGCTTTCATATCTAATGATGCATTAAACTGTGTTCTTCAATGGTGTGATAATCTGAGTGAAAAGACACAATTTGAAGAGCAAAGTTTCACAGATTCATTTGTTGAAGATGAATTTAGAGCAGAGTCTGAGAGTGAGTTTTTTGTTCCTAATGATGAAAAAGTTGAGGAGATGCATTCTGATTCAAGTAATGAAGCTGAAAAGGTACATGTGAATCCCATTGATGAATCTGAGAAAGGGAAAAGTCAATCGTATAGTTCTACAAACACACCACAAGCTTCTACAACAATTATTGTGAACAAAGAAAAGGAATCACCTTCTGTTGTTGTGATTAAAGATGATGTGAATGCAATTAATGAGATGAAAAGAATTCTTGGATGTGTTGATCATTATGAAGCTCTGGGTTTATCTCGCTACAAGAAGATTGATGCTTTGTTGTTGAAAAAGGAATATAGGAAAAAGGTGAAAATTTACCAAAATACCCTTTCCCTTTAGTGTTTCGTTTTGACTTAATCGGTTAATCACTTAATCTGTACAGCTAATCACCAATCATTTACCTGTTTGCCTTTCTCCTTTTTACCTCCCAACTCCCCTCATGTTAAATTTGTGAAAATTACCAAAATACCCTTCCTTTTAGTTGTGTAAGGGATTGTTTCTTTTTTACTTAATGGCTTAATCACTTAATCTATACAGCTAATCACCAATCATTTCCCTTTCTCCTTTTTACCTCCCAACTCCTCTCATCATGTTAGATTTGTGAAAATTACCAAAATACCCTTCCCTTTAGTTGTGTAAGCCTTTAAGGGGTTGTTTCTTTTTTTACTTAATGGCTTAATCACTTAATCTATACAGCTAATCACCAATCATTTACCTATTTACCTTTCTCCTTTTTACCTCCCAACTCCTCTCATCATGTTAAATTTGTGAAAATTACCAAAATACCCTTCCTTTTAGTTGTGTAAGGGATTGTTTCTTTTTTACTTTATGGCTTAATCACTTAATCCATACAGCTTATCACCAATCATTTCCCTTTCTCCTTTTTACCTCCCAACTCCTCTGATGTGAAAATGACCAAAATACCCTTTTGCATGCGATTATCATCTATTTCTTTGTGTAATTGTTTCAGGCCATGCTTGTGCATCCAGATAAGAACATGGGAAGTCCAATGGCAAGTGAATCATTTAAAAAAGTCCAATGTGCATATGAGGTGACTTCTAGTCTTCTACACTGCAAGATTCTCTAAAAATGTTTATTTATTTATTTTATATATTTGGAACTGATATTTGTATGATTTTTCAGATTCTTTCTGATTCTTTGAAGAAGAGAGACTATGATGAACAGCTGAGAAAGAAAGAATCAAAGACTCTATCTCACAAGTCTCCTAGTTCTTCCCATCAGGCATAACATAACATAACACCATATACATTCATATGATTATGCTTATATATGTATATTATTATTAAATATTAATATCATTTAATCAATAATAATTCAGGAAAACAATGATTACTGCTCTGTGGAATCGAGGCGAATACAGTGCACAAAATGTGGCCTTTCACATATATGGATATGTACAAATCGGATCAAGTTGAAAGCAAGATGGTGTCAGGTTAAAAAAAACAAAAAAAAAAAAAATTAATTAATTTAATAATTATCACCCTCTTTGGAGAAATTAAGGAAAAAACTTGTTAATGTTAATGTTACAGGATTGCTGTCAATATCATCAAGCTAAAGATGGCGATGGCTGGGTGGAATACAAAGGCTCACTCAGCTTTGATGGACCTCATAAGGTTTTTTTTTTAATTTTTTTTTTCAAGAATTTGAATTATGGAATTATTTATATGTAAAAATTGATTTAGGTGGAAATACCTCGTGCTTTTGTTTGTGCTGAGAGCAAGATCTTTGACGTTTCAGAGTGGGCTATTTGCCAGGTCGGTTTTACTTTATTATAATTATTGTTATTAAATTAAATAAAATAAAAAAATAAAAAAATAAAAAATGTTATATCAGGGAATGGGGTGTAGGCCAAATACACATCGTCCAACATTTCATGTAAACATGGTTGGATTGGAGAAACCTCAAAGGTCAAACTCAAGTCGTTATCCATGGGATTTAGATGCTCAAATGGCTGATGAAGAAGAGGATTTTGAATTATGGCTTAAACAAGCACTTGCGTCTGGTTTATTTAGTGAAACCTCAAAACGTAGAAAAAGTTGGGGACCCTTTAAGTTGCCTCAAAAGAAAGGAAAGAAACAATGGAATCGTATGTCACAATGAGTTGTGATGACCTTTCTACCCCTCTACCTACCAACCAAAAAAAGAAACGAAAAGGAAAATGGGATTGTTGTAAATAGTGTTGTGTTTTGTGGCCTAAATGTATGGCTCATGTGCATTAAATTAGATTTGATGATGAATGTTTGTTAATAAACTACACTGAACATCAAAACAGACTCCTTTAATCTTGATGCTTCTTTTTTCATTTTTAGTTATTATTATTTTTTTTTTTATGAGATTCACAAATAACAAAATACAAACAATAAAACTTATGTAATCATCACTAAATGGATTTGACACCCAACAATGAACAATCCCTTGGCTACATTGGATCCGAAACTGCCGACTACAATTGTTTATTGTTTTATAAAAATCCATCGTGGAGTTAGATGAATTTGAGGTAAGAAAAAGGACAAATTATTAAGACAATTTTCGAGTGTTTGTTTGGATAATGGTGTTAAATGAGTAAGTTGGATTATAATTAGAAGTTTGTAGGTTTTTCGTTGAGATGAAGAGAATAACATCATATCATGTGGAGTATAGAAAGTAAGATGATGCAACAAAAGAAATGGTAACTAGCATGACATGTTTGTCTTTTGTGAGGGTTATAGAATCATCGGCAAAGTAATATTCTCTATGTCTATGTCATTCGGGTAGTGTTTGTTACGTAGTAATCGCATATTGAATGGAATGTTGAATTACATCAGAATGGAAATTTTCAGTTTATTTAGCATAAAATAATAATGGAATTGAGATTGGTTATTGAGGAGAATAGGAGAATGTATGTTTTTTTTTTTTCATGGAATGATTTATTATAATTTAGAACTATAACGTTCGTTACATAGTCCTCGATAAAACTAATGTTTTTATGAAAGTTAAAAACATCAATAAAAATTAGAATTCTATTTCTGCCGATTACTAAAATTATTTTTTTTATTATAGTTTTATGTTTTAATATTTTATGAAATTTAAATTTTTACATTTTAAGCTATTTCTTAAGGATATATTATTATCTTTTGATTATTTAAAATGGATAGTGTACACGCTTTTAACCATATGCTAATAGAATATATTGATATTTTTTTGGAACGATGAAATATAGTCACTATATAGAGTCACTATACTGTTAGACCAAAGACTATTTGATACAAAATATATTGATTGATTTTATTATCCTGTTCATTTCGTAGACCAAAGACTATTTGATACAAAATATATTGATTGATTTTATTATCCTGTTCATTTCGTTACTTCATTTGTTCCATGGCTTTTTATGATTCATTTCATTATCTCATTGATTAATTTCATTCTATGTTTTATATATCATTAGGCTGTAATGACAAGTAAAAATGTTTATATTAGAATACACATCACTACAACATTTTTTTGGAACACGTATTTTAATGGTGGATCCCTCCGTAGCTACCTATATCTTACCTACGTTTTTGTGTAGTACATCCTTTGTTGTATAGGCCTAATGCTACGGTATTTTTTTTGGAACTGACGGATATTATTAAAACCACAGCCTAAAGAAAAAAGACCGGATATAAAAGAAAAAACAAAAAAAAAAAAACTTACAAAATGTTAAAAGAAGAACAAACCCAACATTCCCATCTACAATTTCCAAAATTACCCATATATTTCAACCAACTAAAAACCATAGAAATCATATTATCCGCCAACTTTGAAGAGTTCATTTGGGTTTTGTTAAACTAAACGTCGTTCCTTGCTTTCCATATACACCATAGAAACCCATAGGAGATAGCAATAAATATTTTTCTCTTTTTTGGATAGTTCCCCCATGAGGCAGCAAAGTTAACAAAATCTGAAACCGAAAGGAGCCTTTGAATAGAAATACCACACCAATTGAAAATCCAGCATAGGGAATCAAAAGCAATTAGACAATCCAAGAGAATATGATCCGCAATGTCCACACCACTAAAGCACATTTGATAGGATATAGAAGACGTGTTGATACCTCTTCTGGAAAGAGCCACTACAATAGGAATACGCCCCATACAAGCCCTCCAAACAAAGCTAATGCACTTGATAGGAACTAAGTGAAGCCAAACCGTGGGGTTATTTACCAGGATAGTCAATTTATTGTCAATGAGGGCCCTAAGATCGCATACACGGAAAGAGCCATCGAAAATTAACCTTGATCTCCAAGTGTCAGGCCCATTGGATCTCACAACCATCCTTTTAACATCCAAAATAGATTTTAATTCCAGCAGCTCCTGAGAATTGTTGGGTTTCCGCTTCCAAGCCCACGAGAAAGTTCCATTCACCCATCGGTCACCTAAAATACTTAGTATATATCATGTTTGCCCAATTGTAATTATTATTATGTATTTATTTATTATCATTTTAATGGAAAAAGGATATATTCCAAATGACATGATATTTCCGTTTTTTCTCGGATCTACACACTCTTCACAACCACTATCCACCCTCATCCTTCTATTTATTCTGGTTTTCTACCGCCTCTTTTCTTTAAAGGCAACCAACAACACAACATTGAACACAAAACCCTATGACATCACAAACATTGTTGCCATCATCCTTAATCTCTCACTGAATGACGTGTGGAGAGAACTCTTTGAAACCCTTTGCACATAATACGATGTCGTTGACCACCATCACAACATCTTCAAACTCTACCGAACCAATGATGAAGAAAGCTAGATTTGTTGGTCAAAATGTGGATCTACGATACGATCACACAATCTCAACATGACACTCAAGGAAGGTCCCCTAATGCGTGCAAAAATATACCTATCTAGTTTAAATTTATAACCTAACGAACTTAATTAGCTAAAATACATCTAGACAGTATACCTAGTCGGATTATAATATAGTAAAGTAAGTTGGGGTCGAACTCTATCACACCCCCGAATCAGACGGTGGAAATGTACAGGGGCTCGTGTGACTAACAATTGAATCACAATGAATATACATGAAACATAACACATTCATCACCAACATTACATATCACAACCAACATTATTCACATTAAGTACATTGTTATATAATACATAAATTCAAAGTATTAATAGTACGCTGAGTGAATGTTACACAAAATAATCCATAAACACTTGAAAATCTTCCTACTTAACGATTACATGAAAATACAAGTTATTTTAAAAACGGTCAACATATATAATGTTGGTGAGTTCATAAGTATGTTTGAATAAAAGTATTTGCATCTTTTCTAAGCCCAAAAAATCCGGCATTTTCTGTAAAGTGTCTAAAAATGATGTGAAAATTGAGTATAAATGCATGTGTGAATTTCATAGCAGTAACATATATGAATGCAGTTTAAATTTCTTTGTATTGTAAGTAAGTGATAATTGAATATTAATAGTTCCCCAGAAAATCCGATATTTTCTGATTTATAATAATGTCGAGGTTCTTGTATCGTCAAATAAGTTGTTTTGTATTGACACAATCGAAGGGTTAGTCTTCGAAATGTTAAATTGGTATTGGATCTCTATATGAGCCATTATAACCATGCATGATAATGACTAGATTATTTGTCTTGGCATTTTCCAAACGCCGGTATTTGCTCGAGGTTTTGTCGCCCTAGACTGACCTAGTCTAGTTGTGGCGAACAACTAAGGCGTGGGGGGTCACGCCGTATAGATGTATACACAAACTCCCGCTCTCCCTCCAGGAAACTCTGGTTATAACTACAGGCTACGATTGTATACTAAAAGGTGCCAACCGACATGTCTCACTAGATTCTCAACCTTTCATGTTTGTTATGTTTTTCACCATGTTTAATGTTTACGTGTATGTTGTAGAGTTTCAAAGCCAAAGGTATGTATATAAGTATACGAAGTTCAAGAATTGTGTAAAGGTATAGTTACGATCTACTAAGCATGTGAATTTTAGTCCTAGCCCAATTAGCATGTAAATGGACCACAAATGTCCAATAACATGTAAAAGAGTAATTTAGGCCTAATAGACATGTAAATGGACCACCAAGGCTCAATAAACATGTCATGTTTAATTTGGGTCTGGTCCATAGCTCAGACCCAAATTAACATGTAAATGGATCGAAAGGCCCAATAAACATGTCATGGAAAATATTGGGCTCAATATACAATTGAATGGGCCCTTAAGGCCCATTGGCTATGTAATGTGAATATTAGGCCCAATAAAATTGTTATCGACGCATTTCGTCCATTCGTTATTGTTTTGTTGTTGCTTTAACTCGAGGTTTACCAAATTAATTATAAAAAAAACCCTCTTTGTAAAAACGACATTCTTGGCCAATAAGCCTCAATTTTCAATTTAAAGTTTTGTAAAAATAGCAGTTTAGTCCATAATTTATAAAAATTTATAATTTCGCCCCAAATGCTTAGAAATTTATGGATCTAGTCCAAAATTTATATTTTGACATTTATGGCCCAGTTTTACAGAAAATTACATTTTCAGCCCCTTGTTTGTTAAAATGACACTTTCGGCCTAATTTTTATAAAAGTTACATTTTTGATCTAATTTAGAAATAAATGTTATTTTCACCCATAAATTTGGTTTATTTATATTTATGACTCAAACCTTGGTCAAATAACATTTTTAATCCCAAAACTTTAATTTTTTCGCAAATTTGGGCCCAAAACCGTTAGGTCCAAATATTAAGCCCAATAAGCTAAAATTTACATTTTTGGCCCTTTGGAAAGCATGTTTATCCTAAAATCCCTTTTTATACAAGTAGGACCTGTTTGATCCTTTCAAAACCGTAAATATCATTTTTTGCCCTTATCTTTTGTTTTCTTGACAATTTTGACCCTTAACAAGGTTTTTGCTTTAAATTTTTATATCTTAAACACATAAACACTTTTAACTTGATAATATGATGTATAAGGTGTCTTAGTTCATGGATTTTTACTCATTGTTGCTTAAGATGTCGAGATATGTTAAGATCTAACACATTTTTACAAAATAAACTAATAAATCACACAAGACATGCATATAACACATAGATCTACACATTTTACTTGTATTTTCCCCCAAAAATCATATGAAAACCGAAACAAGGAGATATGAACTCACCTTTGCTTTGATATTTAGGTTTTGAAGAAGAGATGAAGAGATTTTTGATCATAGTAAGTTTTCTTGAGTGGATTTCGAACTTAAGAAGTTCTAGGAAGCAAAATCACAAAATAGATGTTGATATGGAGTGATTTAGCAAAAGAATGAAGCAATCCAACTTAAGTGTACAAGATCTTACCAAGGATTGATGATATTGGTGAAGAATATTCTTGGAACACATGCAAAAATCTCGAAAATCTTTGTAGAAGGAGGAGTGTTCTTAAGATATTTGAGAGTGTTTGAAAATGGAGTATGTGTGTGTGTGGTTTGCCTCTCGGTCGAGGGTAATAAACAGAGAGGGTGAGTTTCCAATTTGGTTAGTACTCCATGGCTAATTTCTTGCTTAGTTGCATGCTAGGCAAACAACTTGGTTGTCCTTAAAATGAAAATGAGGTGTCATTACCTCCTCCCATGCATAATCCTTTTTTTTATTATATATATATATATATATATATATATTTTGGGCCAAGAATTTTGGGCTAAGAGAAAGGCTGGAATAGTTTAGGCCTTTACTTGTCTTTACTCGAAATTATGATGCCCAAATAATTACTTTTCAGCCTAATGGGCTCATTAAATGGTTCACATCCCATTTTGAAAGAAGAAAGGGTGTTTATTGTCTATTAGGGTTAATTGGAGTTATTATGGCCCAATAAGGCCCATTAAGGGTAACCAATTTATTTTGGACCCAAAATGGCCCAAAATGCTAAGTTTCATGGATATGGATCCAACTAGAGCACATTTAAGGGTCCTAAGCCCAAAATTGTCAAATTGGAAGTTCATTGGTCCATTAGGCCCAATAAGGAGATTCTAGTCCATAATGGACTTAAACTAGGGTTCTTAGGGTTCCAGACTCTTTTTTGAACATGAGAGGTGCATTTAAATGAGCACTGAGTGATATTTACTTAGAGTATATGTTTTACAATAGTTGAATGGTTACACAAGAATAGAATTTCCTAGCTAGAATGTTAGTTGTGACATCATCCCCCGTTAGAGGGAACTTCATCCCGAAATTCTTTTGAAAACTAGGTTTGTGAAGGAAAGAATAAGTGAGGGTACTTTTGCTTCATTTGGTCTTCACGTTCCCACGTGAATTTCGGTTCACGTTTAGCGTTCCATTGAACCTTCACAATCGGAATGCGACTTTGTTTTGTACGCTTCACTTCCCTATCCATAATCTCGACTGGTTCTTCGACGAACAGAAGATTCTCGTTTATATCAATCTCTTCCAAAGGCACGACAAGGGTTTCATCTGATAGACACTTTTTCAGATTCGAGACATGGAACACGAGGTGTACGTTTGTCACACCCCAAAACCACGAACGGCGGAAACGTTCAGGGGTGGAGGACGTCATGTGAAGTATCACAACAGTGTGATATAATAAACCAGCAACAACATCATCCATTGCATTATAAGTAAAGTTTTAATACATGTGTGTTTCTTTCATTGTAGTAAGACACCAAAAATATACAATCAAAATAAAAGACGAGACTTGTCTGCTCCGTCTTCTCAAAACCTGGCCTCCGTACCTGTCTACTGATGACCTGAGAATACAAGTTATTTTGAAAGCGAGTATCAGCTTTAAAGCTGGTGAATTCATAAGTATATAAGTGTCATTGCCTTGTTTGTGAAAATCTGTTATAAAGGCCATGTAAATTGGTAAATGAAAATGTTGATGTACGTATGAAAAACCCTAGAAAATCCCTTATTTTCTATCAGTTTGAGATGTAGTCTTCTACCAAGACCCGAATGTTTTGTAAGTAAAATGATAGTTTTCCTTTAATTGTTTAGTACTAAAGTACTTAGGTGCTGTTTGTTTTTTCTGAGGCAAAATGTCTGCAGTCTGCGGACCACATCTGTAGACCTCTGCAGTAGAAGAGGTGGACCAAACGTCTGCAGTCTGAAAAAAGAAGACTGTTTGTTTTTTTAACATCTGCGGGTTATTAAAATAAACTGAAATCTAAATAAACTGATTTTTTAAAACTTCAAAGCGAATTTTTTATATATTTTTACGACTTTATTATAAATATATAACGAATCTAGATCAACTTTTATGTATTATTATATAAAAAATAAAAATAAAAATGGTATTAATTCATATAC